GAGGACAAAGACAACCTCCGGCCCGTCGTCCTGGATGGGAGCAACGTGGCCATGAGGTGAGGCCCTGCTGTAGACTTTAGCAGATTTGATGCCATTTCCACCTGATTCCTGACCCTAAACTGTCTTGTTATTGTGTTGAACCTCAGTTAGCTTACCAGCTAATGGTGTGTCGCCCTGTAAAAGGAGCTAACAGGTTGTTATTATTTACCATGCGCAACAGTCTGTGCCACAATGGACACACAAATGAGATTAGACCGGTGATTCGAGCAGCCTCTGGCTGCAGTCTGCAGGATCCTCGGTTGGATATCCAACTCCTCCCACATCCAAGTCACCATTTTGATTAGGTCATGTGACTAGCAGCTTTCTGTGGTGGAAATGAAACTTTACTGTCTTTACGAAATGAGAAGATAAACGATGTCCTGACCTTAACCCTGACCCTAACCCTAACCCTAACCCTAACCCTCCACCCTTCATAATTGTGAGAAATAAATATTTTTTGGTTAAACTTGTTTGGACTTTTTGTACAAACCTATTCAACATCCACTATTTTAAAATAATATTATGTATAGAGATTAATTCAGTGTTTGCAAGATTAATTTCACTATTCTTAAATTAATGTCTATATTGCCATGAAGCAATTATGATTTTCTTGCCTGGGATCTTCATATTGGTGACCTAATCAAAATGGCCAACTTGGATGTGGGCGGAGTCGGACATCCATCCGTGGCGTCCTGCAGTCAGCAGCCAGACGTACTCGGGTGATTCTGCTGCCAGTTCAGTTGGAATCAAAGGAAAAGAAATGGCTTACATACCTAATATAGACATCGAATGGGATGGTGACACCAACAAATGCTCCCTTCTGTGTCCAGTCACGGGAACAAGGAGGTGTTTTCCTGCCAAGGCATCCAGTTGGCCGTGGACTGGTTTCTGGAGCGAGGTCACCGAGACGTCACCGTGTTCGTCCCGGCATGGAGGAAGGAGCAGTCCCGACCCGACGCCCTCATCACAGGTGGGAAACGGCTATACCTAACACGACATGCTAGTCTATGGTCATCTCCCGCCTCGACTATTGCAACGCACTCCTGACTCTCCCGGCCCGTACGGTAAAACCTTTATAAATGATCCAGAACGCGGCGGCGCGTCTGGTCTTCAATCAGCCCAAAAAGTCTCACGTCACCCCTCTGTTCATTGAACTCCACTGGTTACCTCTGGCTGCCCGTATCTAATTCAAGTCCCTGATTCTAGCCTACAAAGTGCTTAAGGGTACGGCTCCATCTACTTGAATCCCCTTGCAAAGGCTTATGTCACAACTGGATCCCTCCGGTCATCAGTGGACTGTGGTCTAGCAGAGCCTTCACCAGCTTAAGACCATCCAGACTGTTTA